TTACAACGTACATCACTACACAGGAGGAGGACAAGACTAACAAGATAAAAGGCAGGGAAGTTAACCAGGAACATGCCCGGTTCGCTACCCTACGCTGGGGGAATGGAAAAGGGGGCATAGAAATGGGAGAGAAAGAGAGTAAAAAGAAGAGAAAGAGAGAAAAAAAGGATTGTCAATTAATGGGCTGACGCGTATGCAGCGGTGGCACTACACAAAAGTTAAGGGTGTTCACATAGGCCTGTAGTCCTCAAAAAGTGCAAGACTGCTTTGACTGCTTTTTGAGCCGACGAAAAACGAGGACGGTGTTCCAGTAGCATCTGCATAATGGGTGGCCGATCGTCCAATTGTCGCAATGCGTCCGAAAGCTTCTGTCTCTCAGAGGCAAATCAAGGGCAACGGCATATCAGATGGTCGATGTCTTCTTCGGTATACTGCAGACGAGGCATTCCTCATTGTCGGTCAATCCGATGAGGGTCACTACACGATTATAATAAAGTTAATCATCCCGTATTACTACATAAACCATCAACCCACTCATATTACATGGAATAGTTATCTATACGGGGTACAAGCAATGCTATATTAAGAAAAGAAAACGTTTTTATATTTCTGCCGACATGCCCGATGTATAGCGTGTCGTTAAAAACGGTACTGCCCAAACCTAAGAGATCGTATGCAGCACACAATTTCAACCACAAGCAATGAAGGAGCTTTAGGCCAACAAAGTGCTTAAATTACCATTAGCTCAGTCTTCGCAGAGTGAGTGCCTCTCTAAACAGGACGTCGTGTCGCAAAGGGGCGTGATACAAATATAAACACCAGGAATTACACCTCAAGGGGAAGTTTTCGTCGCAATAAAAACACGGAACGTCGGCTAACGTACCTAAGCTGGCTTGGCCTTTATCGAATGCTTGTATTTTTCTCAAAGGCGGAACTGCCAAAGCTGCATGCCCGTATGAAAGCCGCTGCATGCGAGGGCTTTAGCCTTGGCGTTTTCTTTACGATCCTACTTGGGTGCACGCGCCAAGTTTCGAAATGCAGATGGTCATCACATTTTTGGTTATACACCGAGCGATATGGGAGCGTTGCCAGGTACGCTTACGCTGACGTGCTCGCACTAAAGAGAAATAGAGAGAGATCGACTCAACGTCAGTGTCAGTGACGTCACGATTTCGCAGACTGACCGTCTCAGCGAGGCAGGAGTGCAAAGAACGGATCATGTACGCCCAGCTTCTGGCCATCATGGTTGCCCTGCAGACGACTCCTGACCTCGTGAGTTGCGCATGACGTGTAAACGTATAAGCTTATGTACACGGCTTCGTGTTTTCGTAGTTTGTGTTTCTTGCTATTTGAAAGGTGTTTTTCAGTAGTTTACTTTTTGGAAAAAAAAATCGGCGCTTAACAGAGCTTATTTCTGATAAGTCTCCCGTTCTCTGAAGTCTGGGGTTTCAATATTTTGTTATAAGTTGTTGGAATGTAGTCACAATAGTAAATATTTCCACACAAGTTTCTTGCGAACTACTGGCCTGTCGGAACGTCTCTAAGTGGACTGATTTTTTGAGTGGGTGTGTGTCCGTGTTTTTCTCTTATTTATTTTTTAACTCTCTTTCTTTTAACCCCCTATTCCCCAACACCAGGGTATAGGGTAGCATACCAGTTACTAGCACCAGGTTAACCTCCCTGCATTCCTTTTTTCTCGTTTCTCTCTCTCCACTCAAGTTGTTTAGCATTGTTGCAGATAATGCTGCTTCTCCATTATTTCCTATTTTCCTCACTGGTTTTTTATTTACTCTATTAATAAAGCTTTTCATGTGCACCGCTGTAGAATCACGAAAATGTATCTTTGGGTGGCCAGAGCTATAGTCATGTTGCTTCTCAGCTCTTTCTTCCAGCCTCCCTCATCAACGTAATGAAGCATAAAGGACGTGCTTATGATTGCTGTTCTCAATACTCCTAAATTTTATATGAAAGGCTGACCACGACATTATGCGAACCCAGTAAGTGTATATTTTAGAAGTATGGAAGGTTTGACTGCACAAAGATGCACGCACACAAACATATACGTATACTTTAATACATAATTTGCATAATGCTTAGACAACCTGACAGCTTGTTTAAGCATACTTTACGAGGTTACTGCCACTGATGGAGCTAGATGCTGTCCTTTCAATCGATGATTCTCATCTTTCAATATGACCTTTGAACGTGGAGAATACCCTCTGAAACTTGGAGTCTATCGGGTAAATTAAAATTGTAAAAAAAAATTTACTGGTGGATGTTTATCAGGTTTGTTTGGATAAGTAGAAAAAAAAAGATGGAGATCTGCTTATCTAATAGTTTTAAAATACTGTACGCAAAGCTATTGCGGGCGTAGCGTTAGCATTAGTCACTTAATGGGAGCCTGCAAGAGGTGAGTGGTAGAGTCTGAATAAACACTGTTCGCATTTAGAGACTAGCCGCTAATTTAAACTGAACAGGCGTCCTTTCGTTCCAAATTAATCTACATGCGTTCGCCGCTGGCCGTAGTAGAACTTATTGGGCTAGGCTAAACTGCTTAATTATAGGCTAACCTTCTAGGTTTGAAACTGCGCAAGGCAGCCTCCCACAGCTCCTCTTTACCCAAGCGTTCAGGACAATGAAGGAGTGCTTAGGGCACTTCCACATGATACGATTAGGATTTGCCTTTATTGCAGGGCAATACTTATGGGAAGAGTATGGATAGATAGAATAGTATCTTAGATAGAAGCGAGAGAGGGCGATGCGCGAGTCTGCACCTTAAGTCACAGTACTTCGCGCCTGAGCGTGGACTTTGTTATTAGCGGCGGAGAGAATAAACGGCCGAGGTGATATAGCAGCTGCAGGCGTCACATATGAAGAGGGAAGGCAATCGCCCGCAGTGCCGGGAGAAGTTATCGCAACAGAACTTTGCCCATCTAATGCCTGCGACCTGAAAGTTGTGTCAGAGAGAAAGCTCGATGTATGGAAACGTCTAAAACGGCGATATTATCAACAGCAGTGACCTATACTTCAGAAATTAAGGTAAGTGTACGACACCACATGCGCTACGGTTGGGGCATTCTGGAAATGATTCCAATGACGTCAAACCATCTGACTTCAATTATTCACTGGTAATTACCACAGTCGCAGGAGAGAAAAAAAAAACCTTCCGTGCATTACACCACATTATAAAAATACTACTTGTCCGTTTCTGTTTGATTCATAGAAAAAAAAAAGAACCGTTTGGCATTAATATGGCGAACGGCGCGAGTGGTTCAAAAGCTCCGTTTTCACCTTGTTAGGCTTAAGAGTTGCTGTATATGCTACCTTTAGGATAGCAGGGTTGCGCCACTGTTTTCCGGGCGCCGCTCACTCCACCTGCAGGAGTTCAGCGTACCTATTTGCCGAGCAGCAGCTTTGGTGGTTAATCTGCAGTGCGAAGAAGTCGACTCTGCGCAGATGCTTCGCATATTCAGGGCAGATTAAGCGCGGTTGAAATCGGCTGTTGTTATTCTCGCCGCGCTTCTTCTGTACTGTAGCCATGTTGCCTGTTGGTCGCGCGAAATGTGGTACCAAGTGCATTCCGCATCGAATTCTATAACGTACATCCAGTGTGATTAGACGAGGGTGTAGCGGGTGTTACTAGATTGGTGATCAATGAGGAAAGAATAAACGCTTGGCTTCTTTCTATCTATCAACGGCACTGAAAAAATTGCTCTATTTGTATTACCTACAGATGCGGTGAGTACGCAATACATGCAGAGTTGGCGAGCCTGTGCCGACTGTACACGTCCAAATGGATCTGACGGGTAAAACGCTAAAAATACAGGAAGATCTTAAACTAGATCTATTCGAATCAGCATTTTGCTGCAGCTAGCGCGTGAATATAATACAGCTTTCAAATGTTAAGTGAAAGGAATGTCGGACGCGATAGGGCCGTTGAACAACCATTTACGTCAGCTGTCGTGAGCCGCGATTGTAATACGAAAACTGAACCTAGCAGCCCGAATAGCCTTACTTCTGTAATACGAGCCTAATACGAGAGTTACACGTAGCATGGGCGTCGCTCGGCCACTCTCGATCGCCGTCCAGCTCGATTGGAGTAGAAGATTTTATAACTATAGTTGGCTTCTTCACAGAGATAACAAAGGAGCCCGACGAGGCGAAAACATTTTTATACCTAACTTGCTCGATTGCGATCGAAAGTGGGAAAATAATTTTATATCTGTAAAGTGGAAAAACAGCAGAAAAGAAGAAGCGAATGAGTGGCCAACTATTAATATATATCTCACTGGTTCGATGAGCCGACGCACTTTGCCCCACTTATTACGTTCCAAGAACGTAAGCATAAAATCAAGGCTTGCAGGCGTGACCGGCGCAACCGAGTTTTGCTTATACTTTCATAAAAAACAGAAAGTGAACAATTCATTAAACAACGCTGGTACTCTGAAGCGCGAGCGCTGCTCCTAGGATGGTGGCGAGTGACTTTCCCGCAAAGACATTTGAACACAAGATGGCGTGCCTTGGCGATACTCTGCTACCTAATGGTAGCATTTGCAGTAACTCTAGGTAGGGCGGATTAGTGGTGCCATCTAGCGGAGTCAAGTTGAAACAAGCAAGCAGCAATTTGTTCAATAACCGTTGTAGTGGAAGCCTCATGCAGCAGCAACTTTTGCTCTGCCGCTATTAGTGTCGGTGGTCGCGCAGTAAATGCAGACAACGTTGAGCATAGGAACAGTGAGGTTAGAAGACCACTTTCAGGCGGGTGATCTAGAGTACGCTAACACGATGCGGACCACTAAACCGTGATTTCATTTCAAAATAAGCACTTCCTTGGTACACAACAGGCACTGCGATTTTTCTGGACCGCTATTTCAACAAACTACGTTGACTTAAGAATTTACTTTAGAGTCCCTTTAACGACCCGGACCGTGCTCAAGGAACGAGTCTACATTATATGAACGACAATAATGACAAACGTTTCTCCTTCAATCGAGGCGCGCGGCTTCCATCGGAGGCCCATCTACAACATCTATCACATGGCGAACGCCATCTGGCAAGTGGACGAAGGCATGGAGCTGGGAGCCAACGCCATCGAGTCTGACGTCACCTTCGACAACAATGGTTCAGCACTCTGGTTCTACCACGGCGTGCCATGTGACTGCTTCCGGTGGTGCCAACGTTACGAAGAAGTGCCGAAGCTCCTGCGGTATCTGCGACGAACCACGGGTAACTTTCTTCAACTTTGTGGCTTGTATGAAAGCGCAATAAAACACTATACCCTTAAAGAAAGAAAAATCACAGCACATTCATAGAATAAATGATGATGAGTGGGGCGAAGCGTCCTTCAATCCGTCCGTGCTTCCGTCCATGCGTCCGTCTGTCCATCCGTACGCGTACCCATTTGTGCGCTCTTTTGTGCATCCGTCCGTCCATGCGTTGTCCATCCGTGCGAGCGCCCGTTCGTGCGTCCGTCCATGTGTCCGTTTGTCTGTCCGTCTGCTTGTCCGTCCATCCATCCGTGCGTCCGTCCGTCCATCTAGTGAACACTTCAAGCACCGCCATCTTGCTTCTTTTTATCATATAATCATCATATACAAGTAGCACCATCTAGCGGACAATACAAGGAGTAAACGAGAGTATGTCGCACACTTCTGCTGTCAGCGCTTTGGTAACCCAGAGAGCGTGGTAACGACGCCGTGCTACGTTTTTCGTAACATGTGGACATGCGGTTATGTGCCCTAGGACTATGTGCCCCTGGTATGCGGGTATGTGCCACAGGTTACGCACTACCACAACGGGGGACGCACAAGCCATGCCACAAGGAGCTTTGCCCCTAAAAAAAGCACACACACACAGGACATAACATGATGTCTGCTCTGTATCCACATATGTTACTCCTATTGGTGGTGACTATTAATATATTTTGATATGTAATTGACGTTTCCACAGCGATAGAGGGCCTTCTCGATCTCTCTTTCTCTATTTTCTCTAGCTTTTTTTCTCGTTGCTGTTTTGCTGTGGCAGGCCACAATTACATACTCGATGTTTCCTTCTACACTACATTCTGTGCGACTGTCCGTTGTATGACATCCGGAGACAGTCACTGGCGTCCGTTCTTGCGCGCATCGACAACAGCCAAATGCCTGAGGACACTATTCTTTCAAGTGCCCGAGAGAAGACATTGCAACAGAAGGCGACGAAAGCTCTGTTGAAATTCCTACGTGACACGGACTTGAACAAGCGGCTGTAACAGCAGTGTCACGCACCGCGAACGACAAGATTGGACTATGACTGAGTGTGCGCGCGTGTGCTGCTGAATGTGCTGTGTTTATCTCTCATCCCTCTCTCCCGTCTATCTTTCATCTCCCCCATCCCCCTCCCATGCGAAGGATAGCAAACCGGCTGCCTATAGGCTGGTTAACTTCCCCGCCGTTCTTCTCCTCTTATTTTCTTTCCTTCAGTGTTTCCTCACATTAATATTTCAACTGGAAATAGCTCTTATTCTGTTTTCTTCTTTCGTGATACTTTTTTGTGGTTCAGCAGCCATGATACAAACTATTAGGTTAGGAAGGAGATAGCAGTGAAACAGAAATAGAGGGGTGTTTTTTTAATTATCAGAAAGTGAGAGGTCGGCCTCTGGTGCATCTTGATCTCGCATATTACAATGCCCATGGGTGTTCGATGATAGAAAGTAAAATTAGGAAGATAAATTAAAAACAAGTAAATACCGACAATACCATATATATATATATATATATATATATATATATATATATATATATATATATATATATATATATATATATGGTATTATATATATGGTATATATATATATATATATATATATATATATATATATATATATATATATATATATATATATATATATATATATATATATATATATATATATATATATATATATATATATATATATATATATATATATATATATATATAGACGGAATAGCGGCAGTCGCCAGGTCCTATGAAGCAGCATCACGGGGTAAATTTATCGACAGCAACACATTAGCAGTATTGCTCAGGCTCATTTTAGAGGTAAATAACTTTCAATTTGAAGGGCAACACTATGTTCAAGTTAGCGGCACGTCAATGGGTACGCGTATTGGACCCAACTACGCCAATATATTCATGGACCAGCTTGAAAGTGAATTTTCGCAAACCCGCGCGCTGAAACCTTTTTATTATAAACGTTACATTGATGACATTTTCCTTATTTGGCCGCATGGTGAACAGGAGTTGCTTTCCTTTATATCTGACTTTAATGATGCCCATCCATCAATATCATTTTCTCATACCTATTCCACATCAACTCTTAGTTTTCTTGATGTAAGCATTTCGATTGTAAATGATAAGCTATCCACTGCTCTATACAGGAAGCCTATAGACCGGCAACAGTATTTGCACTTTGACAGTAGCCACGTGAAACATTGCAAAACTAGCATCCCTTACAGTCAGGCCTTACGCTTTAAATGAATCTGCTCAGAGCAATCAGAGTTTCAAAAAAATTGCAGAACACTAAAGGATGCTCTAGTCAAACAAAAATATCCGTCGCAATTAATTGATGACGCAATAAAACGTGCCGACATGCATAATCGTAGAACGCTGTTGTGCGCAGCTAAATACTCGACTCCCTCACCGCAGACAAACTTAGTCCTTACCCATTCTGCGTCAGTTCCGCGTGTTTCGAATGTGCTGAGAAAGCACCACAATATTCTAATGCAAAGTGAACGCTTAAGAAACATTTTCACCGAACCACCTAAAGCAGTGTATCGCAAAGCTAAAACTATTCGAGACATACTCTCATCGTCATCATCATCGAAAGCAGACAGTCCTGACACGATCGGGTGCCATCCTTGTCAAAAACCGCGATGCAAAGTATGCCCTTACATGCACACATGCCGACTGGTCACCAGTACTGGTTCCAACTTTTCCTTAAAAATCAAAGGCAATCTTGACTGCGATTCTAAGAACGTGACATACATGATAGAATGTGCGCTATGTGAAATACAGTACATTGGTCAAACAGAAGGGCCTTTTAGACTGCGTTTTAACAACCATAAATCTCATGCTAACACCTTGCCCCACTTGCCCATTTCAAGACACGTGCACCTCCCTGGCCACTCTTTTGAAAACCTACAGGTCACATTACTAGAATCTGGTTTCCGCACAAATTATGATAGAGAAGCCCGTGAATCATTCTTCATCTATAAGTTCAACGCCGTCGCATCTGGTCTGGATGAAAACGTACGAAAACTTAGTTGCCTATCTTCGTAACCTGTATCACCCTGTCCATCTTTCTTCAACCTTGCTCAGCAAGTCGCACTACATTGTCTGTATCCGTTGATTACGTAGCAGCTTTGTAACGTCTTTGTCATTTTTATTAGTATTTTATAGTTTTTTTGTTTTTTTTCTCTTGCTTTTACCGGTCGGACTACTCTTCATGTTATGTGCTTTATCTTTTATGCGCTTCATCTTTTATTTGTAAACAACGTGCTCGCGCATGGAAGCAATATCTTTTTACTCGTAGATTAGGTGCTCTTCATATTGTGTGACTTGCATATATATATATATATATATATATATATATATATATATATATATATATATATATATATATATATATATATATATATATATATATATATATGTATCTATATATATATATGCCCATATATTGCCTTTCGTGCCGGTTTTCACATTTGTATCTTACTGATATGCACATGTATATAAACAGCACTCGTGCCATAAACTGTATTCTGATGAAGGCCGGAGCCACGGCCGAAACGTCAATAAAATAACTTCGTACGTGCGTCTTCCTTCCTATACGAATAATCTTTCCCGGACCCAGCATCACTTTTGTTTTTGATATATATATATATATATATATATATATATATATATATATATATATATATATATATATATATCACCAACAGTCTTCTCCTCTTACTTCGTTCCTCATTTGTGCCTTTCACTCAGCTAAACTACATTAGAATGGCGTACCAACTAGCCAAAATGAATGCTTTGCAAAACGTGAAGACGATCATTGTTGGGGTGAAAATTATGGAGTCTGTACGCCATAGCCACTCGGCGAATAGCACTCGAGAGTCTATATCCCCTGTTCTCCAGTGTTCTGCAACACCTGTCGTTATAAAATCATCTTCACGCGTCGTCCGCAGGTCGAAGGGTGGTAATGAAAAAAATACATAGAATAACCAATCACACAGCACTGTTAAGAATGTCCCACCTACTGTATCCATTAGAAACCCAGTTAACGTTGCGTTTTATGGCAGATGATACACAATATGAAAAAAAAAAAGATATCGGCTCATCCCTATAAGCTTGCGTAGGTGTTTGTAGTCTGTTGGACTTACACAGTCGCTGTCTATGGGACACTAGGACGGAAAATTTTTTGTAATATTAGTAAAATTCTCTATCACCATATCATTGCTGATCTGCGGTCTACCCGACACGTCCCCGCTGACGTGCGTGGCCGAGACGTCAGGGTTACGGCGGAGCCGGACTCCTGGTAGCGTGGAGTGACTCCGGGTGGTAGCAACTATGCTGACAAGTTGGGGAAAACGAAGAAGAAACAAGTTTACTGCCACTTTGTACAATTATTCACAACATATAATGTTGGAGTTTCGCAAAACAACGAGCGTGGTGGATGAACTGTTAAGGCAAGGTTCACAGCGACTTCCTGCACTTTGCACCGTAGTTTCAAGCCATGTCAGGCTAATGCTTCTTGATTGAAAGACCAATCGCACACACGTCACCACCCACCAGGGCATCAGCCAATAACACACGGTCGCCGAATAGCCAGGCACTCGCTGACGCATTGTTCCTGCGGTCAGTTTCCCTGAAGAGAGGGGGAGTGGGGTCCACCATGGAGCAAGTTGGCGGACGAGTAGTCTACTGCCGTCTCTCCCTTGAAGGCAGCAAAGTATTGACTTGTTAGCGTTAGAGAGCTCTTGTCGCAGAAATTTTGCCGTCGGCGTCGCCATCGTTGGTTGTGAGCGAAAAATCGAGAAAGAAGCAAATAAAATGTTCAGTCCCATTGAGGATCGAGCCCGGGCCGTTCGAGTGGCAAGAAGGTCGCATTTCCGATGGAGGCGGAAATGTTGTAGGCCGTTGTGCTCAGACTTAGGTGCACGTTGAAGAACCTCGGGTGGTCGAAATTTCTGCAGCCCTCCACTACAGCGTCTGCCATAATCATATGGTGGTTTTGGAACGTTAAGCCCCACATATAAATCAATCGTTGTCCGGAATAACATAACCGAAGACAAAGTTGCACTTTGTTTCTAGCCTGAGATTTTATGATACTTTTTGGAAAAGCAAGACATTTATGACCTCAAAATCAATATGCATTTATTAATAGTTTCGTACATATAGTTAAAATGAAATACATAAATCCACATATTATGGTAAGAATTGTTTCGCCATTGAATGACAACATGAATGACTTAATGATGAGTAAATATTCAATTACAGCTTAGTATTTATTAATTACAATACATCGACTAATGCGTGTTATAATATTTACGTTGCGAGTGAATAATTAGTGTCTTGAAGTTATGTGTAAATGCTACGTTATTTACCGACATTGAATGGTTGCATTTAAAGAAGGTTAAAACAACGATATATCCTTTCAGACGGTGGCATATACGAAAAGACCCTTGCTCTTCTATTCTTGGATCTCAAGACTTCTAGTCTCTATTCAGACAAAAAGTACGACGCGGGCGTCGACATCGCGACCAAGCTTATGAGTCATCTCTGGCTCGGAGGTAAGTCAAATGACGTGCAAGCGACTCCACGTAAGCTGACGCGTATTAAGCAATAGCACGTGGCAACCTGAACAAAAACTCATGACGACATAACTCGAGGTTTTGCTACTAGTTGGCGAACTTCCGTTGCACAAATCAAACGGCAACAACGAAGTGTAGCATGAAAAGTGGCCAAGTGAGGTTTATGAGTGTTCATAGTAAACAAGACTGAGTATTTTTCAATTCTGGAACTGTTCAGGCTTGGCAAAACTCCATGGTCGTGCCGCATTGACTCAATGAGTGAGGAGGGGCCATGTTGGGAGATGAGTAGGTCAGCGTACAGCTATGCCAAGACACGCAAAGCCAAGAAATAAGTGTAGTATAGTATAGCAAGGGAATAGGAAAAAGGTGTAAAAGTGAGTACAAGGGATGTAGAGGTAGGGGGGGGTAGAAAGGAGGAGGGAGACGTACTAAGGCATGGTAAAGACTTGTCTAGTATGATAATGAGGTGTGGGAAAAGAATGTGATAAGGGAAGAGGAGAGGGTGAAGCATAGCATTATATAGTATAGTATGGCGAGGAGTGTAAAAGAAGCTGAAGATGAGGAGGGATGTGACATTCAGGACGAGGGAAATGAGTAGAGGAAATGGTGAAATATAGTCATAGCCTTGACTGCCTGCTCACGCATCATATATCTGCATGGTCGGCAAGAGTGTCAAGCTGTAGGACCAAGCAGCAGCAAGGGAAGGTGAGCGATGGCAGTCTCCCCTGTCGCTGACGTAAGGCTTGTGTGAATTGTGACGTTTAGTTTTGAAGCGAATATGCACTTGATTCGAAAAATTTCTATTCCAATTCGAATAGTATATGTCACATAATGTTTGTGACATATATATGTCACATAAATGGCCCTTTGCTCTGGTTAAAAAAAAAACGAGGTCTAGGGTGTGGCCTAACTGGAGACCACCTGCCAGAAATGCACTTCCTCACTAGAGCAGGATTGGCCACCCTGGTGCAGTACTTGGCCATCACCTCCCATAACTGCAGCAATTAATCTTTGACTCTCGGTCACCAGCGGTTGCAAAGCAAATATCCAAGGTGGCGGTCAGACCTGCGATGCAGCGGAGGGTGCTAATCATCTCTGGGTCCGGACAGGCCGCCATAGGAATCTGAACTAGGCTACTTTCAACGCTAGAACGCTATCTAGTGAGGCTAGTCTAGCTGTTATATTCGAGGAATTAGAGGGTGTTCAGTGAGATGTACCAGGGCTCAGCGAAGTTCGGAGGACACGTGAGGCTTATAGAGTGCTGAAGAACGGACACGTCTTATGCTGCCGTAGATTATTTGACAGAAAAGAATGAGGGGTGAGGTTTCTCATACACAAAAATATTTCTGGCAACAGAGCAATACTATAGCATCACTGAGAGGGCGGCAAGTATCCTAATTAAGATTAACAAAAGGTACAGCATGAAGGTGGTACAGGCCTACGCGCGTAAATCAATACATGATAATCATTAGGTCGAACGCTTCTATGAAGAGGTATACAGTCAGCCATAAATAAACTAAAGTGACAGTATACTATTCAGATGGGCGACATTATTGTTAAAGGAGGCAAAAAACAGACTGGAGACCATGCAGTTGGGGAATATAGCATCAGCTCTATAAATGCCAGAGGGAAGTTATTAGTAAAGTTCGCAGAACGAAATAATTTACAGATTTTAAATGCCTTCTTCAGAAAACGGGTTAACCGTAAGTGGGCATGGCGAAATCGTAATGGCGAAACTAAAAAAAAGCACCAGACATGCGCTGTAGGCACAGCATAGTCACAATGAAAGCTACAAGATCGGCCTTTCAGAGCCTTTCAATACGCTCATTGCATGGGTAACTACTGCAAGCACACTTTCTCGATACACACTAGGCCATTAATAATGAAATTTTTTTGGGTAGTACGCAGGCATTCGCTATGCTATTTTTCGTCATTCTTCTGAGAAACGTGGTATCCCCTTAACACTTTCAAGGAATTTTGTGCTATTTGTTTGTGCTGTGGCTCACGACGATAAGGAATTATGACTGAAGTGGGTATGCGCCATAGGTAATAGGAAAACAAGAACAAGCTTTTGTAATGGGTTAAAGCGTTGGACGACCCACTCGTTACGCTATTCGCATTGTGCGACGACTGTGTGTTCTTTCGCTGTTTTAAAACGCTTTATAAGTCGCTATAACGCTATTGCTTTCCCGACATCAAGCCCGCGTAAGGCAAGTTTGCCAACAAGTCCCAAGCACCGGTGTGGTTCAGTGGCAGAGTACTGGGCTGGCACCCAGCGGACCCGGGTTCGAGCTTAGTGAGTCATTAGGGCTAGGTTTTTTTTTCTTATTTCGCATGATGTGGTTACATACACTGGCGGCGCGGTGGACAACTGCGCGTGACCCGAGTTGTGATCTCATTACAGCTGTCGTTGTAAAATGAAATAGACTTCATTTTGTGTGCACACCCAGACATTGATTGATGATTGATTGATTGATTTGTGGGGTTTAACGTCCCAAAACCACTCTTTGATTATGAGAGACGCCGTAGTGGAGGGCTCCGGAAATTTTGACCACCTGGGGTTTTTTAACGTGCACCCAAATCTGAGTACACGGACCTACAACATTTCCGCCTCCATCGGAAATGCAGCCGCCACAGCCGGGATTTGATACCGCGACGTGCGGGTCAGCAGCCGTGTACTTTAGCCACTAGACCACCGTGGCGGGGCCACACCCAGACATTTACAGGATGTAGGAAGAGGAGGACTGAAGGGGAAGGACACGGAGGTTAACCAGTTCTCAATCCGGCTGGCTACCCTGTGCTGGGGAAGAGGGTGATGGGAATAAAGATGAGAGAAAAAAGCGTTCAAGGCAAAAAAAAAAAGGAGGACAATAGTACGATCCACTACGCTGCTTACAGTCTGTCTCTAAGACCACTCGCCCGCAAAAAGCGCAACAACGCTCTCAATGACTTGCGTGCCGAGGACGGTCCCGGCCAGTGTCCTGATACATACAGGATGCCGGAGTAGTTGGTAAAATCCGATGCAGTGACTATAGCATGGTAAGAGCTCGTATTCACGTAGATTCAAAAAAGCAAACTCAAAAACTGATGCGCAAGAAGGCAGTTAATGAACTAGCGGTGAGAGCGAAAGTACAGGAACTCCGAGCTTTGCTGCAGAATAGATTCGAAGTACTGAACAATGTAACAGGTGTTAGCGTTGACACAATGAACAATATACTAATATCACCAAAGAGTGTGAGGTATGTTTGGGGCAAGTGAAGGATGGCCAGTTGATAGACGGCACCTGACGAAAAAGGAAGATTAAGAAAAGTGGCTACGCAGACGAAGCACTAAGCCGTTCACGTTTGGTCGTGCCTTTGCTGCCAAACCACGTGAGTTTTAGATGCGGAGCATCTAATACTGGAGGCTTGTAGTGCGGCGCCGTCCGCAAGCTTCCTCCTCCTTCTTCCACCATCTGTGCATCCCTTCCTCCTCTACACACCGCGCGCGCTTCACTCCTCCACCATCTGTGCACCCTTCCTCCTCTACACACCGCGTGCGCTTCTCCTCTTCACGAACATTCGCTAGCTGTATAATGTAGCGCGCATGCGCCGTCACGCTTCGAGAACATCGGCAGCTGACGCGCGCGCATGCGCCGTCGCGCTTCGAGAACATCGGCAGCTGAAGCGCGCGTATGCGCCGTTGCGCTTCTCCCCCTTCTCGAACATTCGACAGCTGACAGTGCATGCGCCGTCGCGCTGTATATATACTCAAGGTCGGCGCTCGCTCACTCAGTTGCCGCTCGTCGGTTGGTTTGTACGGCGCGTCGACATCCAAGGTCACGGTGAAATGAATTCCAACGAATCCACAAACATAATGATCGACGTCCCTTCGACCAGCGCCGTCCTTTCGCATACGTGTGTACGTGTTCACTCATTTAACACCCCCTCCTACAACCACGTTAACCAATTTAGCCATCGACCCAAGTAAGTCGCAATTTAACACCCCATTTCACAACCACGTTAACCAATTTAGCCATCGACCCAAGTAAGTCGCACTTTAACACCCCGTTAACCAATTATATGCTCCGCATCCTCCTCAGTGATTCCCCGAGGGAAGCTGCGGGCAATTTTTGTTCAACGCATCTGGCGCTGGTTAGTAACCCGCACAACGGAAGCATTTTCACGGAGAACCAGTCCTAGAAACAAGTGGTGTCTGTCATGACACCACTTCTGACAGTATAATGTGGCATGCGTGCTGTCACAGCAAGTGTGGACAAGCCGCAGAATCTTTTGAACTAACTCCAGATAACCGACCGACTGTCTAGCCAGGCTTCTGGTTGCGCGAAAGTATTTTAAGCTGTGCGTTGACGAAATGACGGAGTTTTTGATTGGCCGATTTCTTTGATTGATTGATATGTGGGGTTTAACGTCCCAAAACCACTTCATGATTATGAGAGACGCTGTAGTGGAGGGCTCCGGAAATTTTGACCACCTGGGGTTCTTTAACGTGCCCCCAAATCTGAGTACACGGGCCTAAAACATTTCCGCCTCCATCGGAAATGCAGCCGCCACAGCCGGGATTCGAACCCGCGCCCTGCGGGTCAGCAGCCGAGTACCTTAGCCACTAGACCACCGTGGCGGGGCTTGGCCGATTTCTTGGAGGATGAGGATGGCAAAGTGTGGGAACGAATAGGCGGAGACACATCTCTGGGGAGAGGAGAGTTGTTTGCTGCATTGATGGAGCATCAAGACGTTGTTCGTCCCACGAGATGGTGTCAGATGAGACAGGAGGCATTTATTGGAAAGAAATGGAGAGGATAGGAGCGTAGTGCTCAAGGACAATATCGGGAAGTGTAAACAGAAGTCGTGCTTGGCGCCGTGATCAAGGGATTGATACTACGTCGAGAAATTGGTGTCGATGTGTGCAACATCCTAAGGGTTCGGCAGGTAACGCCGACGTTAATGTGCCGTCGATTAGGTGGCCGCCCCTGCCTTTGATTGTGAATAAGTGTCAGTGTGTAAACAAACTGAAGTTTGCCAGGAACTGAGCAACCGGGCCTGTCCAGTCCTTCAACGTGTCCTCGTGGTCATCTGAACCATCGGGATTACATTCGTCATCCCAAGCTTAACTGGCCCCAGTTAGGTTTGGGATACACAAATTTTTTTGCAAATACATTTGAGATGGTCGCCAAAATGGCTGGGACGTTTGACATGGTTTGAAAAGGCAGAGTGTGCATGCCGGCTGTCTACGATTATTTTGGTTCATCGCCGGTTATCTAATTTTCATTGCGCAGTCCCTGCCAGAAGTGCACTGAATGTTCTCCTGTCTGTACACACGGTGGACGACAAGGAACTACTCCGTGGGGCGATCACAGCTATACATCGTCGAATGCCCCAAATGATCGACAAGATAGGTAATCAATCCAAAAAGCAACATTGATTTTTTTTATTTTGTTGACACAAACGTGTTTTGCTTGGTGTTGGAGTTTCGTATGAAAGAAACCAAATCACAATGAAGCTCTGCGTTGTCTTCTTCTGGAACACAGTTGTGTGAGGTTCCATGGTAATAAAAAAGGTCGTCCAAGTGAATGAATACTACTGGAAGCCAGGATGAAAACTTTCATTTTCTTGTAAAGAAAGCTTGAGCTGAATAAGAAAACATCACCTCCTGGCGGTATTTCATTTAAACAATTGGTATTAGAAAATTCATCATTCAATGTCGCTTTTAACTCGAAAACTTGGGACGCGCCCAAATAGAGCTAAATATATTTCTCGCCCACACCGAAAAGTCTCCAGTGAGTTCTTTGTTGTTTTTGTTATTGTTCATTTGTTATTCCTTTACTGCGAATGTTACTAGGCAAGCTCCCCGCTGACTCATAACGTGCAGGCTTCGACGTCAGCAACAACGATGAGTTGAGCAAGATTGAAAACATGTACCGGGAACTCGGCATTCAAGGACATCGATGGCAAGGGGACGGCATGACGAACTGCCTGTCTTACTTAAGACCGGCGGCGAGGATGAACAGCATCGTCAAAAACCGCGACGCTGGAGAGGCATCCGGGTACATCGACAAAGCTTACCAGTGGACCATCGACATCTCGCAGCAACTCCGGTTGTCACTCAGGTGTGAATTGAACTCTCTATTCCCATTACATACACTGCTGTATACTCGACCTCACAAAGGCTTTTTAGATGCGAAGCAGCTCTTTGACTAGCCTGTGTAACGCTGTCCCTCCGTCCGAACAGCGCTCTCCTGGCCGCAGGTGTTGGAGCGGTACTAAGTAGGTCATGCCTTCCCTTGCAGTGTGCGCACGTTGACGTTCCCCTCGCCCAGGCCTGTCACCGCTCGCCACGTGTCATGTATCTCGCTTCACCCTCTCTGCCGCTAGCAAAGTTGGAGCATAGATCGAGCGAACAGTGTTTCTGTGATGAAACTTACAAGAAACCTAACCCACCTCCCATGTCTTTGCGTTTCGAACAAATGTTCATTCGAGTAAACGCTACGCCGAGTTTCGCTTCAAACCGCCTTCCAGCACCCGCGTGGACGCCCGTTTGAACCGAGTCAACGCCGTGAGCACGGCTTCTGCTTCTCATTCCATCAGGGTTCCCTTCGGGAAGATAGTCCGTAATTTTTTTCTTTTTCCCTCCTTACCTTTCTATTCCATTTTCATTTTCCCGGTGCAGGGTAGCAAATTGGAAATATATTCTAGTTAACCTCCCCGCCTTTGACTGAACTTTCTTCTTTCTCGCTCTCTCCGCACAGAGGCTGGGTCGTGCTTCCTAATAAGGAATCTTTTAACAAGAAAAAGCTTTACAGGTGGACCTGTGCTTGTAAAATGCACGTTCTCATCTTTTGAAAGCTGCGGCGGCAATGATGACGACGCGCCTTTGACGATCACAGGTCTTCTTACCGAAACGTCGGCCAACCTGCATGAGGCACCTGCTTCTGTTGACACATATGTATCACGTTGCATTTGCTACCTTTGTTCCGGACTTTTGATAAAGAGACACAGAGTAGCATAAGGAGAGCAAAGACAAGAGGCATGACATTCAAGAAGGCAGCGTTGTGGGTCTTAGCGTGTTCCCCTGTTGTCATTATTAGCCCTGTGCTATTAGTTATAATTCGTGAGGGCTGCACAAAACATTCGTTATCACCCTGCTCCATACTCGGAAGAGTATCTTGCAACACCGATATCAAAATGCACGTGCATGAAGCATAAAACACAGAAACTGAGATGCTCGTACAAATGTGTTTGTAGCATCTGGATATTTCGGAGGTACTTCTGGTAACTTTTGCTTAAGACGCAAAAAGTATCCAGGAATACAGATACAACAATGTAAACTTCATTTTTGTATTACTGGGTGCGGATGCTTGTAAACAATTTCTAGTGTGCACCATTTCTTGTATAACCTCCCAGCGCAATGAAACTTCCAAGCAATCAATATCCCGAATCGACGAACAGGTGCGTATTTATTTTGCCCACAGGTTGTGTTGTTCTCAGAAGTTTGTTGCAGTAACAGCACCTATGCAACGGCAGCTCTGCCTTCTATAGGCAGCAGCAGTTCAGCCTGAACGAAAGTCTCGCGAACGATAAAAGACGCATCATTCATTGTCATGATCACCTCAAGATATTTCTTTGGTAGGACTCTGAAGAAAACAAACACTTTATTTTGCGCAACAAATTAACCTTTGTAGAGTATAAAATGAAAACAGTTTTCTAAAGCACAACTTCGACTATATTGTGTGCATGGTTTGTAAATATTGCCTATTGATATGTCGGCTAGTGGTGACTTTTAGAGTATACACAAATTGATGGTCATTTGTTACCTATATTGTGAATGCAAAAAGTGGGGCACTGTACGGTACAGGGGCATCAACAGAAATACAACACAGGGGAACTGAACTTTGAACTTTATTTATTGAACATACCATCATTTGGGATGCTGAGGGTCGTGGTCAAAAAGCCTCTTCACGGGCTTGACTAGGACCACGACCCCATACAAAGTGGCAGGGATAGGCGAGTGCACACTATAGTATAAAATAAATCAGACAACACTATGTCGCTCAATTATAACTGTAAATAAACGCATAATAGTACTGTAAAGGAATGCATACACATTTACATATGAACATATATAGGCAGATAATGCAAGTGAAACAGATCGGAAAGTAAACCTTTAAAACAATGTACCAACTTCAATTTTGATAATCACATAAAACATCAATGAAAGTGTACAAATTAAAAAAAGAAATACAATGGCATTGCACAGGTAGGATAAAAACGTATCTCCAATATTTTCACAGTGTTAGTTGATTCAGATGGAACGGCAATACAAAGCGCAGCATCTCCTCGTAGTAGTTCGGGCGCGTGCGTGGAAGATACCACGTGTGAATATGACGAGTGTTATAAAAAAAAGGTCCGCCGGTTTATACGAGCAAGTGCGCCCAAAAAGTTATCAGTGCGCGCATGCTGCACCCCCTTTTTTACATTCCCAATGAACTGTTACTAACTAGCTCAATTGAATGTTATGTTACCTATATGTTGTTCTTTCACTATATTAATAGCAGTGCTATCGTGAACCAAACTCCGTTAATCGACTGAATTGTGGTCGCGTATATACAGACAACATTCTGGGTTGGGCAAAATTTCCATTTGTTTTTGTTCCCGACGTGTCGCAGGGGAAACGTGGACGCCATAATCACGAACATGCCGCACCGTCTGGCCAGCATTCTCAAGGAGGGGGAGTTTCGGAACACGTTGCGGCCAGCCAACGCCTCGGACAACCCCTGGACTCGCTACGGGTGCCGCCACAACTGCGACCGGAAGCCGTTCATCTCGGACCACCTCCTAGGGGGCACTGGCGTGCCCGTTTAACCAAAACCTGTGGAGTGTTCGGCAGTTTCACTGAACCAACTAGAGACAATATTCAGCCTTTTTCAGATTCCTGTGCTGCCTTCTGCCGTTTTGGTAGGGGACGGGACCACCGGTGTCACCACAACGAGAGCCTCCAGGATCGAGAGGCATTTCGTTATTTTCGTGCTAGAAAAAGGGCGCATGCGCAGATGTGCCGTGAAAGAGGTGTGTATTGGTGTGGAAGTCCTCATTCGTCAATTCACGGCAAGACATCGGCTTCGGAGAAAGCAGTCAAGCATGGTGGAGCCACACTGTTCGTAAACGCCTGACGACAGGATGACACATTTCCATCACACGGCAGTGGTCTACAAGAATTTGGAGCCCAACTGTGCGTATGCATTCTGGTGTGTAATGTGAAGTGACAAGAGCGCAACACCAAAGAAGAGCGAATGTTTCTTTTACGCAAGGCTGGCGTTGCTTGGCGAGTACAGTAGCCTCGGAAGTCGTGGCTACTTTTGAATTTTTCGAACGTTACAGACCTCGCATGTGACTGGTGATGAATGACACTTGTGTTGGGTTTTAGTCATATGAGGACCCCGTACAACACTACATAAAGGATAGCTCATAGGACAGCAGCACGTGTCATGTTGCGTCTCGCTGCGCGAAACTTCTTGCTAGCCTGCCCACGCTTCGCTTTAAAAGGGACATTAGTTCAACATAATCTGAAAGCAGGAAACCGAGTGGCAAAGTAGCCTGCATATCTCGCAAGGCTAGATCAGCTGGTAACCTACAACTTCTTTATGCTCATGATGTATGCAAGCTCGCGTGTGTGATCCTGTGCACGCCGCACCTCGCGGCACTGACATCGTCTAAAGCAACCTGAAGGCGACTCAAACCCAACTGCAGAAACTTCACCACTGCGGTGAAGGTCCGAGCTGGCGCAGCCAATGTTCGCAGCTATGACGTCTTAGTCAACAATGCGAATTCGCTGCGCTTGCGCCAGTGGGTTGTGGCAGCTTGCGTTAGTTGGTATGGCATGACGATAGTTATAGCGCAAGAACAAAACGACGACAAAAAGACAAGAAGGACACGAAGGTAGCGCTCGTGTCCTTCGCGTCCTTATTGTCTCTGTGTCATCGTTTTGTTCTCGCGCTATAACTATCGTAATGCCAGTGGGTTATTTCGGCAGCTGCTCGTGAATCCATGCCCGCGGCCTGTGAGGGTAAAGTGTGGAAGCCTCAAGCGATTCGTTGACATCAGACAAAAATGCAATGGCGGCGCAGCAGATGTGGCAAACGGAACAATGCCAGCGGATGACGCAGACAGCGCGGAAGTGCGTCCCTGTTCCGTGAGCCGTTTCAAAAGCTACATGTCGTTAGTGGCACTCGTCGGCCAGTCGTTCTCTGATAATTCCAAAGTGAAACTTAGACAGTAATAAACGGAATGTAATTAGCTATCTGCTATACCCACTGCAGCAAGTGATGTGCCGTCTTATGCCTAAAGAAATCTCAGCAAAATATTGCAGCAAAAAAAAACTACCTCTTTAGAATATGTGCTACTGGTGTTATCAACGCGACACGATCCCCGAATCAAGACAGCGTTAAGTCAGACTCCTTAATTGTGGGAGCCGAAACATCTGTGTGTGTGTGTGTGTGTGTGTGTGTGTGTGTGTGCGTGTGTGTGTGTGTGTGTCTGTGTGTGTGTGTGTGCGTGTGTGTGTGTGTGTGTGTGTGCGTGTGTGTGTGTGTGCGTGCGCGCCATCTGTGAGACATTGTGACATAAGTCACAGCTTTGTCGGAAAGGCGAACCAATCAACGCGATAGCAACGAATTGAAAGGTCACGTGCAGAATTGAAAGCAGATCAAAACATACCCCGCGTTCCTCATGCACAAAACGTATTCACAGGTACGGGTGCACGCGAATAAGCGTCTCATTTATTACTTTGCTGTGTCTGAAAAACGCGCGCTTTTCGCAAATGGAGACTGAAATGATTGCAGTGACCTTTATGCACCAGGTAACTACAGCAGAATCATTCCAGGTAAAGCCCGAGGCCAGCCGAAGCATATGACCTTCCCCTTTTCGCTGCCGCGAGATAAGGGCACGTGAGGGAGCGTCGCTTCCTCGCGCGCCCTCATCTCGCCGGGCGAAGTACACGTAGGAGATAAGAGTAGGCGCCGCCGCAGGATGTGGTGACGTGCGCTCTGTGCGCCATATTGCTGGTAATGCTGAAAACACAATTCCCCCCCCCCCCCGAGATACTCGTGAGCAGCGGTAAGTGGTAGATATAAGTATCTTGGCATTTGAACGGTGAAGAATGTTCTCCGGGGTGGCTCAGTGTTTAACGGCTCGCTTTCACGACGCCGAGGTCCCACGTTCGATTCCGCGCGCCGGAGTGTTCACTTCTAGATTTTCTTTCTTTCTTGTGTTTTCATATATATATATATATATATATATATATATATATATAAGGGAGAGAAGTGTATACCTAAGGGCTCGTATTTCCATGTTTTAACACAATATTAATGAGATATAACAGACAGTAATGCCAAAGAGTGTACAGGGGAAGTTATTAGAACCAATGGAATGTAAATAACAAGAAAGAAGAAAGAAAAGTGGATGAAAAAATTACCAGCTGCGAGCAGGAATATATATATATATATATATATATATATATATATATATATATATATATATATATATATATATATATATAGTGGGTACGACCCATGGCGGTGATCATCATCATTATACTGTGATCGCAGACTCAGGGCCCATTAAAACCACCCCATTAAGTTACCTTAATTTGTGTAACCATTTGGTGGAAAGTGCTGGGTAGGATGAACCGAAAGACGGGAGCTTCACTACCAGGACTTCGTCGCAGCCGCCGCCTCACCGGATTTCCACCTTCGCCGATCGTAATGGCCCAAGAGCAGCCATCCAACGCTTCGAGGCCAACTCCGATGGGTTCCGTGCCGTACTGCAGAGTGCCACCAAACTTCGACGGGACCTCAGGAGAAGACGTCGACGTGTGGCTCAAGAACTACAAGCGGGTGAGCAGAAGCAATGGCTGGGACTCGAACGAACAGCTCAATCATGTCGTAGTCTCGTTAACTGACACCGCTTTTATGTGGTACGAGAACCACGAGGACATGTTCACGACTTAGGAACGTTTTGTTGAAGAAGTGCAGAAGTGCTTCGGTGATTCGGACGCAAAGAAGAAACGCGCGGAGCAGACATTGTCTCAGAGGGCACAGCTTCCAGCAGAAACATGTACGACATACATTGAAGAAATATTGAAGCTGTGCAAGATCGTAAATGGGAGGATGTCTGAAGAAGACAAGGTTGGACACGTTCTCAACGGTATAGCCGAAGACGTGTACAATTTCTTAATTGGGAAAGACTGCTTGAACTCCGTGTCCGACGTGATGAAGCACTGTCGTACCTTTGAATCCCTCAAGATGCGACGAATTTCTCCGAAATTCGGCCGCCTGTCCAACGTCCCCACTGTGGCTAGTGTTGAAACAGTGCCGCCTAACGACCTTGCTTTGACCATACGGCAGATCGTTAGAGAAGAGCTGCTTCGATGTCAGCAGAGCTATCATCGCCCCAGCGATTTTCAGGATGGGTACGTAAGCGAACCAGAACGTGTGCGGACTCTTGTTTCTCTTCCACCATGGCAACCATCGATCAACGCAACAGACGCTTATGAATATCAAGGCACACGACAGGCTGGATTCCCCCGTCAACCACCTCCCAACTACGAACGAAGTTTTTGCCCACCAGTTTACCCAACATCGCCTCCCTAGAGGGCCCCCGAAGGACGGTACCACTATCCCATGCCTTCCGAGAGGAGTCGTTACTCTGAGCAACAACGTGCCCCTCGACCAAGTCCGGTATGCTACAACTGTGGTGTCCCGGGTCACATAGCACGTTTTTGTGACCACCGCCCATATCAGCGACAGTCTTGGCACATGTCTCACCAACCTTTCGACCATCCGCTCTCTACGTCACGGAAACCACGCGCACCTACCGGATCACGCTACCCCTCGCCGGCCTCTGATCGAAGTTTGACACCACCACCAGCTCCCCGTGCTCCACGATCGCCATCGCCACGGCGACGCGCACGTACACCACTGCCGGAAAACTAGTCGGTGCGGCCAGTGGGGGTGAGGCCGCGAGATCACAGGTGCTATCTACAGGTATACCCCCGTCAGCGTTTATGTTGAAGAACAAAGTTCATGTAGTTGTCGATGGAGTGGCTACTATGGCACTTGTGGATACAGGCGTGACAGTCTCGGTGATGAGTGTAAATTTTAAAAACCTGCTAGGGCCAAAAGTGATGTTTTGCCTGAACCATAGGGTGAAATTTCGTGGTGTAAGTGGTGACGTGTTGTGTCCGGTGGGATATTGTACTGTGGACGTCTCGCTGTGTGGCAAGGTGTTTTGCACAGAGTTTGCGGTTATTCCGCGGTCTACACATGACGTTATCTTGGGTATTGACTTCTTGTGTGAGTGTGGGGCAACTGTAGACTGCAGAAGTGGGCATCTTTCTGTACACGGTACTTTGGAAAATTCCCGTCCGGAGAAATGCATCTTTTTCGTCTCCCCGGACACAGCCGTTCCTGAATTTTCTGCTGTGTGTGTTCCCGTCACATGTTCTAGCAACAACTGTGGCACGTTTGACGCCACGCTAGAACCGATTCCCTTGGCATGCCTGAAAAAGAACATTCTCATTCCCCATTGCATAGTGCCAGTCGTTGATGAACGGGCAGGTGTGTGGACAAGAACAGTTCCATGGAGCCTGCAATTCTGCCAGGCGGCATGAAACTTGCAGTATTTAGACCCGAATCATGTACGACGCTCGTTGCGCTTCTTGATGCTACAAGCCAAAATGAACATCTAGGCTTAGAAGGTCCAGAAGATGCCCAATTGCTACAAATAGTCAGCAAGTCACTTGACCAAAGCGAACGTCATACACTGCTCGACGTTCTATGCAAGCACTCGAAAGTGTTCGATTTTCCTAAAAATAGCCAAAGGCCCTTAACCCCAGCGTCCCAGATACGTCATCAGATCCACACCGAGTCGGCGCATCCCATTAGGCAGAAACCTTATCGAGTGGCACCATCGGAGCGCAAGATCATCAACGAGCAAGTCCAAGAAATGCTGGAAAAGGGAAAAATACAG